CTTCATGAAAAAGATTTACAACAGTGAGAAATTTAGTGTAAATGGAACATCTAATTCATCATGAGAAATGGGGCAACCAATAACAACCTGACACACATACTCGCATGCATCATTCTCCATGACCTTGTATTTCTGTGTAACAGATATGGTCCTGTCAGACAAAGAGCTCTTCTCTGGTTACCTGATGGAAGTATAGTATGTGTTTTGCTGTTTTCTCTGATATGTCTCTCTTTTTCTCTCTACTCACAGAGACCAACCTGAAGAAGCAGGGCTTGCTGCCTCTGACTTTTGCCGACCCCCAGGACTACGACAAAATTCGCCCCGATGACAAGATTTCAATCACTGGACTGAAATCCTTTGCTCCCGGCAAGGTGAGCAATCTTTGGCACTAAAGAAACATTGATCCGCTAGTTTCTCTTAACATTATGTTTGAAGAAAAACTGGATAGATGAATGACATGTGATCTCATTTGCCTCCTGGGTCCTCCCCCAGCCCCTTACAGCAGTGATCAAGCACAGCGATGGCAGCCAGGAGTCAATCTCTCTAAATCACACCTTCAATGAGACGCAGATCGAGTGGTTTCAGGCTGGCTCTGCCCTCAACAGGATGAAGGAGCTCCAGTAATTGGTGGGAGTGGAGTGGAGGGAGACGGGGCCTTTAGGGGCCAATTGGGGGGCCTTGGCGTGGGTTAAGAAGGGGAGAAATGTGGGCCCAGAGAGGGGCTTTGCAAAGAGGAGACGATGGGAACTGTAGATGGGAACCAGCCTCGTTAGTTATAATGTTGGTTTAGGGACAGCTGTAGTCATGCTCAGTTCAAGAAAGAACACACACAGACACAAGGTCGCTGTACAGATGAGAAGCGCACACACATGCACGCGAGCACCTACATGCACAGGCAGGGTTGCGGTGAAAGCACTCCTGGTCGACAGGCAGAATTACTGTACACAAATGCACTCAAACAAGCACACAATAACCTAAGCTAGGCGTTGTGTGTCTCCGTTAAAAGCAGCATCGTTGCTGACAGCACTCCTCAGTTTAACCTTATTTAAGCGTGTAACCCTTTGCGTACACAGACATCTTTCTCCATCAAAGGGGGTTATATTTTCCTAATTTTGTGACAGATTGGTATCTCTACATTATTTCTCTAAAGCTGAAGATGTTTGGTTTCACTAAAAGTTGTCCCCCCGCCCTACAGAAACAGGTTTGTTGGAAGCATTACCATAGAGCATTATTCATTATTAACTACACTGTATACCATTTTTATGACCATATCTGGCAGTGAACATACTTGATTCAGAACTTGAATAAATTAACATACAGATACAGAATATCATTAAAATAAAGTTGGTGAAGCAGTGACTAGTTAACGGCTTCCTTTATTGTCTTTAACTGTAAAATCCACTCCAGGACCAGGCTATTCTTGTCCTCCATTATACCTCCACTTTAACATTTGTCTCAGTAGTTTCCATCCAAGCAGCTCAATAAATTGAGTTGGTCAACTCGCATGAATGTACTTTTCCCTCATTATCTCCAGACCTGTCACCCGAACAATATCTTTTCCACCTGTTCTCTGTAATTGTGATGCACTCTACTTGTCCTTTCTTTTTCCTCCTATTGTGTTAGCGCGAGCCTTGATATTTCTTCTTTTCATCTGTGTTTTGTGTGTGATGCATGACTGTTTTAGTCAGGTTACCACCGGTCTGTGTTTGCAACGGTCTGTCCTCTCTTTGCTCAACCTGTCTCTGTTTTTGCTCTCACTAGGCTGGTTCATGCAGTCCAAACCACAACCTGATATATTTCGTGAAGTAGGCTGTGATTAGATTTGTGTTGGCGGATGCTGAAGCTGCACTGGGCAACAGTTTTAATGTAAATTCTGACTTAGTGTATAGACAGGAAATCTTCTGTGCCCATAGGAAACTGCAGCCGAAGTGTAATAAAAAGTGCTTCTTTACAGCCGTGATTGTGCTCTGTCCAGAGAAAGCGCTACTCTTCTGTGAAATAAATCTTCTGGAGTAGTTCAGATCAGTTCACATGTTTATGTTATCGGGGTTTCTCTGTGTTAAAAGTTTTCCACTTTGTCCTCACTATCATCTGGAGCTGCAAGCGTGTGAAATTGCCTTGTGTAGCTGTAATGGGAGATGACAGGTGGTGTTTGCCTCTGAATTAAATGTTTTTTTTCAGGTTGAGGTTTGGTCTTCCATAGCATAAAAAGGCCTGCTGTCTTCTTACACGAACTAACGCACAATCTAGTGTCCAGATGTCTGTACACTAACACTTTGTAGAGTTAGGAAAGTAAATTTAGGTGTGCTATGTTCTTCCTCTGCAAACATTTTACTCTTCAGCGTACATCTCTGGTGTGTGTAACTATAGGACTGATATACATCTTGTAATTATTATTGATATGATTGATAAACAAGTATTCAGACCGTAGAAGGATCATTCTTATATTAAGTTTGGCATCTTGCCATGATGTATACCCAGCGAGCGCCACTGAAACAGTATGGTTATATATTTTTGTGGACTTAGGGATGTTTAGGGTCATTGCTGCTATGTTTTATGGGTACTGCTGGTCCTCTGTGTTTAGTTCTCACCATCATCCAGAAAGACTATAAATCTGTCACTTCTTTTTTCTGCATTACATGAGGTAAATCCCACTGTACTAAAAAGCCACTGAGAGTGGACTTGTGTATAAATGATATGAGATATAGCTGTACTTTGTATAGGGGTGTGTACATAAACAATAAAAAAAATTAAATATATAAAATCACAAGGAGCAGTAATATGCTGTGTGCTGCCTGTGCAAAAGAGAGCTGTTAACTCTGTTTGTGATCTCTTGTAATATAATGTCATGATAGAGTCCCCTCTGTGGTTGAGAATCTCCATTAAAAATAAACATTTTCACAAACCAGTTCACATGTGGATTGTGGGTTAAATTAAAGCACAGATATTGAATTGTAGCTGTTTGTTGCCGCTGGGGCTTTGACCATGAAAACAGGTGTCTTGATGGCTTTGTGTGTTTTTCTTAATCTTTAGTTTTGTTTTGTTCATTTTGTTGTCAGGGTCAGAGATGATTTTAAATAGCAGCAGCCCAACTGTAATGACATTTTGGACATTAATGACTCCATATATGGGTTTTCTGTTCATATACTCCTCATGTGTGATACCCTTGTTAAGCCCATCACTTTGATATACTCCAGTAAATCAGATTTACTGCCAAAGATGCCTAATGAACATACTGATAATGGTTATCCATAAGTTGTGTTTGAAAAAATCACCCATCATTATGTGACCTTTCAAAATTAGCCCCATGTGCATAATTATTTGATTTTATATATATATATATATATATAGGGTGATGTTTCCTACAGAATTCACCAGGAACAGTGGTTATTTTTTACTAATTCATTTGATCCTCCTTTTTCCCTCTGTCAGCACTTTTAAAACGCCCGTGAAGCAGTTTGCTTATCCTGTGATGTAAGATAATGCTTTGTTGTTCACTAGTTCAAGCCTTTGAGTTTTAAAAGCGCTATTGTAAAGTGAAAAATCAAATGATGTTGTTCATTATGGCATTGTGTGTTGGCATATTGTGTCATTATGTGACATATTTCAACATGCTTCATTTGTCCAGATACAATAAATGAAATATGATCAGATGTTTTTGTATAGTGATGATTCCCCTCACACTCCTGTTTCAGCATTAAAATTGATTGTTTATAAGTAGATGATAATAAAATACATGCTTTATGTTTTATAGCTTTAAAATATTTAGATTCAAAATATATTGACATCTTGGGAAATTATTAAAGATAAAATTCTGAAATTAATGTTTTTGTGTTTCTCTTTGTTTAATGATATCAGTAATAGCATTTGATTGTCAGTCTTGCTGTGTTACAAACCTCTGCTGAGGAACAATTGGCTTCAGTTGTGGATGCTGCCTTCAAATGCTCCTTGTAACCTCCAACAGTCTGTGGCATACAGCCTTGACATATGTCGATGATACCATTTATTTTTCTCCTTTTATCCAATACTGTTTATCTGTTCATACAGCAATGTTCAAAACAATGACTTTTGAAAAATTAACATACATGTTTTTACTCCTATTTACTTACACTAGTAGATCACATATCTGTACATACTTGGGTGTGTATATAGATTCTGTATATGTCTATTAAATACTACACAGTATCTACCCTGAATAGTTAACTTAAAAGTGCATGTGGAAATGCGTGTTAAATATAAACTGTACTTGTGATTATTGTAATTCAGATCAGAAAACTCAATTGACTTTGTTTTTTCACCGTGCTTACTGGAAGCAGAATACTAAAGTGCATATTGATGGCATGTAATGTATCTTTTCATTAGTAGGATGAAAGTGAATATTTTCTAAATAATTCAGTTGCTAATTGTTCAGGGTAAATTCATTTCACAAACACAATCTAACTAGACTGACTTAAAACCCCAATTCTATTATTTTTATTATCAAACTCTAACAGTATGGTATGGCACCTGAATGAACAATGTGAATAACTATACCACTAAGACTTTTGATATTTTAACTTTAAAATTAACTATTGTACCTCTTCAAAATAAATCCAGAGTTTACAAAATAGTTTAATAACGTTATTGAATTAAGATATGCATAAAAATACAAAATTGAAGTAAATAAAGGTAAATAGTCCATGACAATAACTTAAACAGTAATAATGATTGAATGTAATGTAGACAAAAAGTAAAAACAAAACAAGTAGGATTGCTGATTTCAACAAATTTTGTGTGTTTATAGTCTGTATATTGACAAATTAATAATTCTACTTCATATTTTGTCACTGTTCTGTTGTTATGGTTATCTAGCTGATGTCATAAAACGTAATTTTTGTTTTGTTTTTAGATCTGTAAAAATTACGCAAATCAAATAGTATGGTATGGCGATTCAACGAGGTTTAAAAACCTGCACTCACTGTACCTTTAAGTTTTGCGACGTGTCGTAAAATCTCACTGTCGTAAATAATCACGTGGAGACATCATGGATGCTTCTGGGTTTGTTGTAGATTATTCTGGGTTTCAGTGCTGTCTTTAGCTAGATGGTGGAGCATTTTTGATTTTCTTTTTCATTTCCGCTGTGTCTAAACAGGAAATGCTGTCCTGAAAATAGGTGACAAGCCTCAGCTCAGCTCGCTTGTTTCACCACAGCAGCTCTGCGCGTGTGTGTGTGTGTGTGTGTGTGTAAGTGAGTACCTGTTCACAGTCTGCAGTCAGCATCATGTTCGTGTTGGTGGAAATGGTCGACACGGTCAGGATCCCTCCGTGGAACTTCCAGAGACAACTCAACGACGCCATAGCTGAGGAGCTCAACAAGAAACTGGCCAACAAGGTGTGTGCGTTTTAACTTTATTCAGTCAAGTAAGTTAATCTCTTCTGCATGAGAGACCTGTGTGCAGCAGGAGAAATCAGAAAGTCACAGCATGAAAAACAGTTACACAACTCTCTGAACAGGTCCAAAATTAAAAGTGTAAAGTCAGCCAATAGGATGAGACTTTCAGGTTTAATTATTTTACTTCACTATATGATGCAAAGCACTATAAGGCAGTCTTCCCAAGTTCAGTCTTTACGGGTCCCATGGCCAGATCTGATTTGGTGAGCAGTAGGTTTAAATTTGAGAAGAGTTGTGAAATACTGAGGCAGGTTCAGAAGGAGACATTTATAAAGACAACTATTGTGTCACCCTATCACTGAGGACTTAATAATTCAATAATAATACTATAATAATACTCAATAATTATCGATTACGTAAAATTACAAATTTGCCTCAAAGGATTGAACATTTCTAGATCATAAGACACCCACTGTCTGGAGACTCCCCATTAGTGATAGGAAAAACTTGATGTGTGTGCAGAGTAAACAGACATAAATACAGTCAAATTAAACTGTTAAACAGACTGACAATGTTAGGTAGATATACTATATAAAGAATATGGACCTGGGAAGACAACATTTTGATAGTAAACAAAAGGACATAAAAACATTTCACTAGTGGTGAGGTGATTTCGGCTGATTTTTTGTTTTAAGGTAAGAAGGATAACAAGTCACTTTGGCTCTTTGCATTACGAATTTTGCTTATTGAATGTCTGTTGTGTTGATAAAGTGTCAATTCAGCATGTCTGCATCTGCTAAACTGCGACCTGCTCCCTTCACCTCAGGTGGTCTACAATGTTGGTCTGTGCATCTGCTTGTACGACATCACTAAACTGGAGGACTCCTATATATTCCCAGGGGACGGAGCCTCACACACAAAAGGTATGATGATGCCGACAGAGCTGTTGACTGGACTCTCTCATTTCCTCATACACTTGCGTCAAGCCTCTTTATATTTGAGACGCATTGCCAAATAGTGCAACCCGATTATAACTGAGCCCTTCCACTTAGTTTTTTGTTTATGATTGGGATTTAGCCATTATTAGTGCAATAATTCTCCTCACTCACTGTTTCTTTTTTATGTGTTTTTACGTTAGTCTTGTTGATGAATTGAAGAAGAAATACGTCTAACTAGAGTGCGTCAGAAATGAAACACTTAACCTTACATCCTGACAGAAATATTGTTGGATCCATATCAGAGCGGGATGGAGAGGGACGCTTTTTTGCCCTGCACTGCTAAGAGTAAACTTCCGAAGGACATACTGATGTCCTGAACCAGAAAATGTTGCAGCTGTGTTTTTATCCAGTAATAAAATACACAGAGGTTGTGTGAGGTTGGCGTAACCATTGAAACCCCCTTATTGCCACTGGTAGTACTCTGTCACCCACTGATTTGTTCCTGATTTCCTTTGGTCTGTCAGTTCACTTCAGGTACGTCGTTTTTCACCCTTTTCTCGATGAGATCCTGGTCGGCAAGATCAAGTACTGCAGTCAAGAGGGAGTTCATGGTAACTTTTGCCTTTCCATTTCACCATATTGGATTCAATCTCCAGAAATGTATTTGCAAATTTATTCTCAATACATTAAAAGGAAAAAAACACAAGCAATTACTTCTGCAACTAATGATTATCTTAATTTCAGTTCATCTGACAGAGAAGCAACAACAATTGAAAATAGCTAAACAAATCTGCCTTATTTATTTATTTATTTATTTATTCATACACAACTTTAATCTTGATCTTTCCAGAGTTTTAATGAATCTCTAAGACGAGTCTAATTAGGATCTGAGAGCTTTTTATGTTACACTTCTCTGGTACCAAAGTCACATGTAGCTGTGCTCCACTTGCTTTCTCCACTGGTTTGCTGCTAATATATAGATCAGTCACATTTGGAGGACAATAGTCCGTCACTTAAGAAGGTAATTTGTAAAACATTTCAAACACATGTTTATCATAAATTTGCAACCATTTCGTAAAATGTTGGCCTGTTGCATTTACATTTTACATTTCGGGTGTTAGCAGACGCTTTTGTCAAAAGTGACTTACAATAAGTACATTTGTCAGAAGAAAGTGAAAAGCAAAAGATCCCTGTCGGTACAGTAAGGATGTCAATAGAAGAAGTTGTTCAAGCACTCATAATTGCTAGATTAGCCATTGCTGGTGCATGCAGCACATTCTGATATGTTAGTCTTGTCTTGTGTATTCATGTTTTTTTAACTTATTACCAGTACATTAATGACTAAAAGGTGTGTGTGTGTGTGTGTGTGTGTGTGTGTGTGTGTGTGTGTGCATATAGAAGTACTGTGTTAAACACTGTCTGCTCCTACCTTTGTTTCACAGTGACGATGGGCTTCTTCGATGATATTCTCATTCCACCAGAGTCTCTTCAACAGCCTACAAAATTGTATCCTGAACTGAAAATATTCATATAAATGAAGTAAAGTACTGTTATTTATTTTACTGTTTTGCCACATGTTCACACACACATTGTTTCTGTCACACATTATTTAAATTCTGATGTATAAGTGATTGTATCTGTAGTTTAAACTGCTGCACCTCCTGAGCTGTTGAGCCATCCTTAGCTACAGCCTCAGTGATGAAGCAGAGCAAGTTTGGCTTTGGGAATATGAGACGGACGAGGGGGCGCATGACCTCTACATGGACCAAGGAGAGGAGATCCGTTTTCGGGTGACAGATGAAGTTTTTGTGGACACGTCGCCGACGGGCCCAGCAACTGCAGCGACAGACACACCGGGGCAACCGGGACAATCAACTGCGCCGCCAGCAGCGGAAAGCCTGGAGAAGAAAGAGGCACCGTACACTCTGATTGTAAGGACACACTTCTTGACTTACGCACATTTACATCACAAGGAGATCTGCTCCGATCAAAACTGTTAACATAAGTTTCTGATGAAAGCATGAACATGCATTGTTATTTTGGCTTATTCAGACTCTGTAGGTTGAAGTTGGGCGGGAGCTGTAGTCACCAAACTCCACAGCTGTGTCCTACTTCAGGGGCTGCCTCCCTCCATTATTTTTAAACAGAATGTGTCATAATGGGAGAACAAGGCTGTCCCATACCAGAGCACCTCCAAATCTAGCTCAGAAATGTGGGCTTCTTTTTTCGATTGCTTGGGACTCCACTGGTACAGTTGACCTGCTGCACTGTTTGTCAGTTGTTTATTATGTCTTGTAGAGAAATTTCACTGGAAGTGTGGTTATAATAGGAAAATCTCTGGTTTAACACTGGTAGTTAGAGAAGTGGATATCACATTGTGATCCTTCTGAGGGCTCCTTCATGGTGAAATGTAAAACCTCAAACTGACACGAACCACCTAAACCCACAGTTTTGGTCTCCGTCTGTCTAGACTAATGTTTCTCAACGGGGGCGATACCGCCCCCCAGGGAGCGTTCCAAGGACGATGGGGGGGGCGGGGGAAGCAACATTTTGGAAAGGCGGGCGCTGAGCTGCTTTTGGGGGGCATTTGCTAGTTGGAAATTCTAAGGCGAGTTTACACCAAAGATTCTCAACAATACGAGTTTAAACTTTAAACTACTTGCAAAAAACTGTGGTCTGCAACATTAAAACCTGCCAGTTTAGTCCACTGCGACTGGACGAGATGGTGTATTTTTTCTCCGTCAGCTACTTGTGTTGCAGCTCCGTGCTGCCTTAACAGTAACGGGAAGTCACATTATCATCTGTAAATTTTTGCCCACATGGCGTCAACTGTGTAAACTCTGGAAAATTGACTCTCTCTTTCTTGGTATTACCGTGGGAAAGTGTTTATTTCTCTGAGGACTACACTGTAACATCTTATCGCAGTGGTTACACATTTACAAGAGGGATATTCCGGTATCGGACTTACCCTGAAAGCAACTTCGCTGCGACACCAGTGAGTGACGTGGACAGTTTGTGGCAAAGCAGACATATACAGTAGTTTCAGTAGGCTATAAAAATGTAACGTTAAAAACTGAAGCCCTGACTTGCTCTGTTGGGGATTGTAAGCGGCACTTTATCAGAGGTGCTGAAGTTAATGTGTGTGGAATTATTCGTGAGATTTCTGCCTGATCACAGATGTTGTTGGTTAGTTTTGTTTTCCCCCAGCATGAGCACCTCCTCGTCTCATCCAGTTCTGTGTCTGTTGGATGGTCGGGATACTTCCAGCGAATCAGTAATGTAATGCAGTATAGGGCATGTAGTAAAATATTATGAATTCTATTTAATGACGTTAGTCTCCTAATATTAGGACTTTTTTTTCTTTACATGTCAGAGAACACTGATACGTGAGTGAGATTCTGAATGTGCAGAAGGTTTTGAACATGAGCAGACCAGTGGATCGGTGGATTGGGGGGGGCGTGGCTCCCCTGGCGTGGGGGCCCGGTCTGGACCGGGGGATCTGAGGACTCGGGCTTCTGGCTTTTGCTCATTTCTGGGCCTGGGGGCCCGTTGTCTCCTCTGCTCGCCTGGGCCCTCTTCGGCAGGGGTGGGGAACCTGCTGCTTCCCCCTGCCAGCTCTCTCACAGTGGGGGCATTCGGGAGTCTCTGGGGCACATGGCGGGTGTTGTCGGGGTGGGTTTTGGTGCTCCTCCTTGGGGGTGGTTGACTGGGGGGGCTGGGCCCCCGTCCGGGGACGAGACCAGCCTCGGGTTTACAGGGCTCGGGGGCTGCTGGCTCTGTCTGCACTCTGGGGAGGGATGCCTCTGGCTGGGCTGGGGGACTGTTGGCCTGGTTCTCCCGCGTTATCGCTCCCTGGCGGCAGGGAGCTTCCCGGCACGGCTTTCTGCTGTTCCTCCTCGGGGTAGGGCGCAGCTTCCCCCGGGACATGCGGTCTGGGGTCCTTTGCGCTTTGGGGTGTCGCGGGGTGCCCTGGCTACTGGGGGTGGGCGTCTCTGGGCGCTGCGCGGGTTGATCCGGTTGTGGTTTGGAGGGCTGCGGTGGGATTATGGGGCGATTGTGGAGTTTATTTGGGTTTTATTTTTTCGGGGGGGTTTCCCTTCCCTGTGCAGGGTCTCTGGATGGCTTTGTGGGGACCAAAATGCTGAACCCCACAAGTTTGAAGGGCTGTTCAATGGTTAATACTTTTAGAGTTAGGTTTAGGTTGGGGGTTGGGGTTAGGTTAAGGTTAATGTAGTTGGGATGGTTAAGGTAAAGGTCTATGGAATGCATTATATCGATGAGATGTCCCCAATGGGATAGAGGAATAAACGTGTGTGTGGATCACCTGTTTTTTTTTTAACTGTCAGAGACCAGTCTTTTATTCAGTAGTTTATACTCTGGCAGCCGAGGGTTATAAAAATTGGATGTTGTTGCACAGCAAATATGACAGCTCTGTTCATGTTGGACCTTCCTGTTCTCCATTCCCTCTGCACTGATTCCAAGTCACAGAGGCAACTACTGAGTTCACCACAACTGAGCTGTACGGACAAGATCTTTATTGATTTGATTTTGTTTGTAAATTTCACTGTTAACCTAAATGCTGGTGTGAACAGGCTCTTATACTGATGTTTAAAAGATTCATAAAGGTTTAAGTAATCTCACCCTAAAAGATGCAACAGACCTAACGGGGGGTCAGCGAGATTTAGCCTACATGCTTGAACAGTTCTGAGTGTAGGACTAATTCATCTGACTGACTGAAAACAACTGTGTGGGTGTACCATGGTTGTGCGATTGTATTAACTGTGGCCATGAATGAAACAAAAGTAGCTTTACCTCCGTCCTGACCGGCTATGCTGTTGTTTCAGGGAACCATCTGTGAGCCGGGGCTGGGGCTGCTGTCATGGTGGAACAGTTAGCACTGCTGAGGAAGAGGAGGACATTTGGTGGTAACAAACGTATCGACCATCATGACTGATCAGAGAGATGGTTAGCTGGAGAGACACAGAGCCCTGTCGATTGGGTACAGAAGTCAAGACACAAAGTCGAGCTGCTTTCTGAAGCAGGATTCTGCTGGTGTGAAGTGACTGATGAAACCTCTGTCACTTTGGGACTGATTGTGTTGTAAATACTGCTCTTAACATCCCAGCTTCATGTTTACATGTATAATTTACCACATATTTAATAACACAATGACTGATGGACATTTACATTCATTTGGTATATTTTACAAACAATAATGGAGTAATTAATGATTTGAATCACAATGTCATCACTACTTTGGTATGATAGGTCACTCTTTAATGGCTCAAAAGAATTGCTGTTTAAATCTGGGTTGAAAACTGAACGTCATTTATCAGTGATGGATACATTTGTTTCCCGAATCCTACGGACATTCTTGAGTTTAAGGTGAGAGAAATAAGGTTGAGTGTTTTTTTCCCCCATTGATATTAATTTACCTGTGGGTCAGATTTCTAAAACATTTGTATCATCCAGATCCAAACAGGTAACTTTGCAACAATAAGAATGTTTTTTTCTGTGGGAGTGAAATTTGTCAAAAGATTTACTTTTATTTGAAATTGTATCCCTACCTGAGGTTTTTGTGCACACATCCTCTGTTTATTTAAATTTGTCTCTTAGTTAAATGGCGTATCATCCACGTGAGTGGGCATGATATGTGAATTTCTCATTCTGTGTGATTAGAGGAAGCATATCAAAAAGGATTAGTGACCAGCCTTTAAATCCAACAGTTTGAAGGGCAGTGAAGGACACAGCGCTGCTCTCTGCACTCTGTTGGTCAGTTTGAGTTATCAGCTCACACACATATGTGTTTGTTGTACAATCTGAAATGCAGTGGGCTGTGTTTCATGTGACAATTCCATGGCCAGTTGATGTTTGTCTCTGCTGTGTGTTATGAAACTAGGTCCGACTGTTTTTTTGTTTTTTTATCAACAAAAATAGATGGCATGCATGTGACCCCTATTACAGAAATATTCCTGACAAAAAGCATAGGATGAAATTATTTACCATGTAAAAATAAATACTGCCACTGAGTGCTCTCTCAGCTCACCTTGGGCATTAAAACAGTTCTTTTTAGTAGCAGTTTTTACTGATGTTTGTGTGTGTGTGTGTGTGTGTGTGTGTGTGTGTAAAATGATAAACTTGTAAAATGCAAAATCCATCTCATTACTGGCATCTTCCTCATAAAACGTTATTTACAATAGAGGCGCACAATAAGGGCTGCATAAAGAGCTCAGCATGATAAACAACATAAAATCATGGTATAGACAAAGAACACCTTACATAGGCCTACATGACGAGGAATGAAGAAAGTCCTTTTCTACACGCGCACTCGTACACACACACACACACACACACACACACACACACAGTCTCATCACGCCATCGGAATCTCCGCCAGCTGCGCAGACTCAGCAGCCATAACACCGTCACATCAGGGTTTTCCGTCGGTCTGCGCGGATTTGGTCGACTTATATATTTAATTACTCGTTATATAATACACACCGACTTAAAAGACACACACTCGCACACGCCGATCGTCCTCAGCCTCCTAGCGCACCCAATACAGTAAGTAACATTTCTGCGAATATATGCATGTTGAAGTTCCTGCATATATGCATGTTGTCAGACTATGTTTGGGCAATGTATTGTTTGCATGTTTGACATAACCGCTAAATAAGAGACACATAGGCTATTTTATGTAGCCTAGCTCTGGTTGTAGCCTAAGGAGGACTGATCGATATAGCAATTACACAATATTTGACCGCCAGCTGGTCTTCATGAGCGGTTCTCTCACTCTGCTTTTGTCCAAGTTATAGGCTATTGGCTATAACAGCATCGGTTGCCTATTCTGCCTCTCACACATTTTTGTGTGAAACTACAGACATTACAGAAGCTGTGAATCGGGGATTCATTTCTTTACGTTACGCTATTGGCTTAAATAAAAACACGAGAAAAGCAAAGAGTTAAAACAGGCTATGGGATTTTATGGTTCTGGGAGGAAAGTGTAGGCTATGAATTCAACTCGGGACAAACCACACACACACACACACAATTCACACACACAATTCACAGACACATTAGTCGTCCCTTTTCATAATCATGGGACAAGGAAGAGATTCGTCCCCGAGCCGGGCCACAAGAGCCATGACCCTCTTAATTCTGTAGCTTTAGTTCTGCACATCCAGATGTTCTCCTTCTGCTGTCTGTAAATGAGTTGCTCTGAATGTTGGGGTTCATTCACAGCGCTCTTGTTTCTCATGTTTCTTGTTTATTATTATCTTTATTGTAATTATAATAATAATGTGTAAAGTCATAGTTTTCTGCTGTAACGGATCCTGCGGAAACCCTGTAACTTTATGTCTGTAGTGTCCTGCTCCCGCTCAAGTGGAATGTAATTGTTCTTTTGGAAATGAAGCACTGACGTCACGAACGCACCACTGGAGGCGACGTTCTGCAGCTGTTCTGACGTCACGCCGCGTGCGGAGCTCCAGCTCTGCCTGCATCATAACAGGCAGACGAGTGGGCGTAAAAAACGTCCTACACACGCACGTATACATAGAGTAGCCTATATAAAACCGTGTTAAAGGCGATTCATGGGGTGCATCCACCCTTGAGGACTGACAGGAGAGGAGTCAGTTGTAGCCTAACCTTGAAATATTACTGTGGGGAGAAACCAGATTAGAAGGTATTGAAGGGCAAGGTCACCTGACTGACTGTGGTAGTATTAGTGAATGATGAAAAACAGATATGAATGCTTTAGCCTATAAAAAAAATAAAAACTGAGAATCATGCAGAGGGAAGGAAGGAGCATTGCCTACTCTGTAACTGATTTGTATTGAATATACACTATACGGTGATAATGTCCTTTAATACACTGCACAGTTGAAATGCATGTCAAATAGATATGAAAAATTAATCTCCACGTTTTTTAATACTATAACTGTGCAGTATAATAATTATTTGGGATTGCAGTGGAATGCAAACTGAGCCAAAGGGAGACTTCCAAAGGATCCAGGTGACTAAGAAAATTAGTGTTTATGCATGAAATTAAATTTAGGGCTGGATTTAAAGGGGCCTGCACCATACACCCCAAGACCAGTTTACTTGTCATAACAAGCTTTACTCTACTCTTTTTTGTCAAGTCTGAGAAATAACACATTTTTAAGAGAAAACTAGAGGTGTGGAGTTTACCAGGAGAGTCTAATAAAAACATGCTACTGTGTTGCATTATTGGAAGTTTTTTTGACCCATGCTACAGTGTGTAGCCTACTTACATTCAGGATATCATGGTCTCTGCTACATCGACTTTTGACCGTTCTTTTCTCCCTAGCAAGTCCCCCAACCTCGGGGCGTGCACTCTAAATCACTGGAGAACAATTTAGCATTAGAAGGGACTTGATTTAAAGTAGGCTACTTTGGAGGGGTTAGCTGTGTCACTTCAATATCTATTTTTACTCTTGGAAGGAATTTGATCTGATAACATAAATTTGACATTATGGTACAACAATATATTCCTAGATACACTGAAAGAACACTGAAAAGGTATTCTTCACCTGACATGTCCCTGTGGTCTCTGACTTGGCTTACTCTTGACTGGATTACCCCTCTCATCCTTCCTTTCCTCCATCAGGTCTAAAGCCACATGACAACTATCTGATCTTCCTCCGCTCTCTCCCTGTGCCCTCTCTCCTCACAGCCCGTCCTCCTGATAGACTTGAAGTGACAGCACTGACCTGGATAACCGCTGAGCCTGTGTCCCACACTGAGGCTGGCCTGTCCAAGAAGACAGACTCACAAATACACCAGCGGACAGACAGCGGTGTCAGCAGTCCAGCAGCAGCCTGCGGCTGAAGGAGTAGCAGCAGCATCCAACACTGCATCCACACCATCTTCCCCCATCCTTCTCCTCTTCCTTGTCACATCTGACATGGCAGACCCCAGCCTCACGTCGCCCTCAGGGACGCCCCTGCGCTCCCCCAACAGCTCTCTCACCCTCTCCTTCCCCTTCTTGAGGGAGGGGAGTCGGGTATGGGAGGAAGGCAAGGAACCGCCGCTGCCTCGGGATTTGCCCAGCCCGTTGCCAACCAAACGCACCCGCACCTACTCAGCGTAAGTGATTAGTTTACATTTATTTAAATACGGTAACATTTTTAGGTACTTGTACCTTATTTGAGTTTTTCCAATTTCATGCTACTTTAAAACTTCACTACATTGCAGAGAAAAAAAATACATTTTAACTCTACTACATGTATCGGTAAAACTTTTTAATAAGGCAGCAAAGAGTTTTTAAGATGAAACTAAAGGCTAATTTATTCATGTTTAATAAATAATTTAATAAAGCTTAGTAGATAATTTCTAAGCTAAGAATAGGAAACAACTTTTGGTGCCAAGTTGTGGAAATTCCCTCCAGCCACAAACCAAAACTGGTTAATAACTGATCTTTAAAGCAATGATTTACGAGTACTTTTACTTTTGATGCTTTAATGTTGCTGATATCTCTCTGTAGTTTTAGGCAAGTAAAGTTTTGAATGTACTTTACTTTTACTTACAGAAAGAATCTGTAAGTAAAAGTAAAAGTGAGTTTTTGGGATATACTCTGAATACGTCCACTTCTGCTATATGTTATAAACCAAACTGAAAAACAAAATGTATTAATTGTTGAACATTTTTCAAGCAGAAAGAAAGTGCTGATTTCAGTGTCTCTGATGTGACAGATGCTTGTTTTTAACCACTAAATATTACCATAAATGTAAATCTGGCAGGTAGCTGTATCATGGCTGGTTTGCAGACTGTGGTTGGTAGTAAAGAAATATTGAATACTGTACTGTTTACACTGTGAGTCAGCAGATTAGTGTTCTCATCTCTGCTGCTGTTGTGTTGTGACATTACGATGTGTAGGTGTTAATGTGATCAGCTCTTCATCTTCCTTCTTCACGTCTCCATTTCTCTGTCTTGTCAAAAGGGCCTGAACCCTGAATTGTGTCACATAAAAGAAAATATATATTCTTGTAAACGGCTCCTTCTCGTTTAACTGAAACAGTAAAACACTAAGTCATACTGAGATTTGTAGTTTAGAGAGTTTATACACTGCTCAAAAAAATAAAGGGAACACTTAAACAACACAATGTAAATCCAAGTCAGTCAAACTCCTGTGAAATCAAACTGTCAACAGCACAAACTGGAAGCAACACTGATTAACAATCAATTTCACATGCTGTTGTGCAAATGGAATAGACAACAGGTGGAAATTATAGGCAATTAGCAAGACACCCCCAGTAAAGGAGTGGTTCTGCAGGTGGTGACCACAGACCACTTCTCAGTTCCTATGCTTCCTGGCTGATGTTTTGGTCACTTTTGAATGCTGGCGGTGCTTTCACTCTAGTGGTAGCATGAGACGGAGTCTACAACCCACACAAGTGGCTCAGGTAGTGCAGCTCATCTAGGATGGCACATCAATGCGAGCTGTGGCAAGAAGGTTTGCTGTGTCTGTCAGCGTAGTGTCCAGAGCATGGAGGCGCTACCAGGAGACAGGCCAGTACATCAGGAGACATGGAGGAGGCCGTAGGAGGGCAACAACCCAGCAGCAGGACCGCTACCTCCGCCTTTGTGCAAGGAGGAGCAGGAGGAGCACTGCCAGAGCTCTGCAAAATGACCTCCAGCAGGCCACAAATGTGCATGTGTCTGCTCAAACGGTCAGAAACAGACTCCATGAGGGTGGTATGAGGGCCCGACGTCCACAGGTGGGGGTTGTGTTTACAGCCCAACACCATGCAGGACGTTTGACATTTGCCAGAGAACACCAAGATTGGCAAATTCGCCACTGGCGCCCTGTGCTCTTCACAGATGAAAGCAGGTTCACACTGAGCACATGTGACAGACGTGACAGAGTCTGGAGACACTGTGGAGAACGCTCTGCTTCCTGCAACATCCTCCAGCATGACCGGTTTGGCGGTGGGTCAGTAATGGTGTGGGGTGGCATTTCTTTGGGGGGCCGCACAGCCCTCCATGTGCTCGCCAGAGGTAGCCTGACTGCCATTAGGTACCGAGATGAGATCCTCAGACCCCT